CTCCTGAGCCCAGCCGCCTCCCTGCCCGTGCGTAGGCGTCCCACCGCCGTACGTAGACTGCAGTTGGCACAGGGACCTGGACCCCCCTTTAACCGCAGTTGCAAAAAGGTGCGTGGAAGAAAAAAAAAAGGAAATGCCAGAAGGACAGGCTGTATGATATGTGTAAGGCGACAAGCGACAAGCTTGAACGGAAACGCGTGCTTAATGTAGTTGTATTTACATATGCATGTGCCACGCACCGTGCACCTTGGCATATGCTTGTATGACTGTTTATAGATGGCCTTTGCAGCTGCGTGAGTTTGAACCTTTTTGATGCACCTCGGAGCATGTTTACGAGTGTTTGAGTGTTCTTCTGCATGAAACATGTGCAGATTTTACATAAAGCTCTTTCTCTTAATGCGGATTCATTGACTTTCATCATACAGGTGCACAGCTGCACAAGCAGGAGCTTGCGTAGGCGCTTGTGCATGTGCCACAAGCATAGTACGTGCACTTTTCGTCTGTATTGACCAAACGCATGCACACTGGAGCAAAGACACAGACAAAGGCACGAACATAGACAGAGACATAGACTTGGATGTAGACATAGACATGGACATGCACATGGACATGGCATTGACGTGGACATCGACTAGATCTGTTCGTAGTTATGTTTATGTGCATTTACATCTGTACGGGTTGTATGTATTTATACATACACACACATATAATATATATATATATAACAAAAGTTCATTTGCGCACTCATTTCATTTCTGTAACCTTCTGCCATTGCAGATACATGTGCCTGTAGGTTTATATATACATACCCTACTTATACTTACTCTTATACTTGTACCTAGAGATACTTGTGCCATGGCTCCTCGCTAATGTTTGTGCGAGTATATGTAGTTCATTCACATAGACGTCCAACGATGGCAGGTGGTGAAGAAGGTGCATCTGCAGCAACAGCTCCGAAAGAAGGTCTTTCACAATCCTTGGCCTTTGACGAGGAGTTGGATGACATGGCATATCTCAAGGTCCCTCAGGGTTCAGGGTTGCTGCTCGGATTTACTCCGCCAAGGTGGTGTCTCAGAACCATATGTTTGATCCCACTCAAGTGCCCATTAAAGCGCCCAGAACAAAAAAAACTGTCAGAAACCACGAGAAACTATCCCTAAATGTTGACCCCTGCGCCCTTGCACCTGCACGTCTGGAGTGCGGGCCAGCAATGTCCGAGGCCAAGTCGAGCTCCACCGCAACAGGAGGCAGCGAGGACCCGGATCGTAAAGATGCTTCCCCTCTACACTCATTGCCATAGCGATGAACCGGGCTAGGCATGCTATGCTCCTTACTGTCGTTATTTTCGCACCACATCACTACACATGCCTTACTGGGAACAGCTGTTTTTGGCGATGCCTGTGTTTTCGGGTGGTGGATCCTGAATCAATATCCTCTGCTTTTCGTCGGTGAGAGGTGAAGGTGGCGAAAACGAAAACCCTAAGCTCTGAAGTCTAAGCCGATGGCCTCACAGGCTCAAGGCTGGATCCCAAGCCCTGCCCAGGAGACCTCGAAAGGTGCGTCTGAAGTTCCCATGGCAGTGCCAAAGAAGCGTGCCAAGGGCAAGAAACGTGTTGCCCTCAGATGTCGTCGTCTCTGAACTCCTTGGTGGTCTTCGAAAAGGGTTTCTTGGAAGAAGGATTTTTTTGAGAGCAAGAGTTATCTTTGTCTTACATTTGGTCAACCCGAGGCCTCAAGCAGAAGAATTCGACCGCCGGCGCAGGTGGTTCGATTTTGTGATCCGTGCGCAGCTCTCAGCTGGGATGCTTGTCGCACTCAGGCGAAGCGAAGGAAAACGAGGAGGAGACTGTGGCCGTTGACGCAGTTGATGCTGCGGCTGCGGCGGATGCTGCAGCTGCGGCAGACGCTGCCAAGGATTCCGCAGGCGGGCTGAACGACGTGGAAAATCCGGGTGGTCGACAACATGGAAACGAAAGCCCCTGTGCATTGCAATCGTTTGAACACCGAAAGAATCTGACAACCAGTTGTTCCGTAAAGAAAACACTACGAAACCAAAACCGGTGTGCACGAATAGAAACGGGATTGCACAGAGTTCATTACTAGTAGCTCCTTGTCAAGCGGAAGCAGCCCGATCTTGTAGCACAGGGGGGGGTTTAGGCTACCTACCGATTCTGCTGGTAAGATGTAGTACTGTAGGGGCTCCCAAACCAGACTCACCTGTCCTGCCTCTCGAAAAAGCTTCGCCCCTTCGCAATCAACGGGTTTCAACTGCCGATTTTTTTGCAGGAACAGTGCCAGATATGGAAGATCTTGAATCAACAGGGCGTGACTCGGATGTGTGTGTAAGGGCAGCAAGTGTGGCCACCGAGTCAAATTCGACGCACCCTGCAGCATGCTCTGTGTTGCACCTACCCGCGATAGAACTTAGTCTTAGTCCAGTTGCGATCCTGCACCCCTAACCCGAAGGCCTTGATCATGGCAGTTCATGTATTTACGACGTTGTGGTGCCGACATGTTGGGTTTGTTGGAACACGACACTGCGCACGATGGATATGCCAGTATCCTTATACTTGTTACAAACATAAAGTGTAGCAAAGCAACCTGTGTGAGAGTCGCAGCTTATGCAGTGGTTGTCTTTGGAATGCATCCGAGGCTTGTACATAACCAACCTACCATACGGAGCCAGCGAAGAAGAGATACGTGTTCATTTCGAAACGCTGGGGGAGGTCCAGTCCGTCGTCGTTTGCAAGGAGCGGAATCGGATGTGGTGTTGATGCAAACACAATCCAGAAGCCGACCTTCAACCGCTTGTGATGCACATTGTGCCATACCTGTCTAGGTTGACAAGGTATGCCTGCACATGGCTGGGCCTCCGTATGTGCCATACACTCGCTGCAGGCATGCACAAGGTGCGGGTTTAAAGGGGAGGAGACTTCAGGCTGCGGCCGGAGTTGTGCCCCAATCGGAAAGATGCGCTGCGGTGAAGTGTGTCTTACCGAGCCTGACTGGTTGCCGAGGCCCGAGATTCCTACATTCAACCCTACAAGCTTGAATTGGACCTGAATCCCGGCAGCCGCAATTCAGAGTCCAGGGTTCAGCCCCTTCACACTGTAGGCGACAACGATTTCGCGCGAACAAACGCGGCTACATCCCTCCAAGCTCGGGTGCTTCATGTCGCAGGACGAGGACTCGCTGAAATCACGTGGTTTCGGCTACGTCACGTACGTGCACCTCGGTAATTGTCAGAAGGCACGCTCCTCCGGTTGTGCCTTCTTCTGCCATTTGCCGTTGATTGCTAGAGCAAAAGGAAGCCAAAACTGCGTCTGCTAGCGCTGCTGCAAGTGCTGCTGCAAGTGCTGCTGCAAGTGCTGCTGCAAGTGCTGCTGCAAGTGCTGCAAGTGCTGCAAGCGCTGCTGCTGCTGCTGCTGCTGCTGCTTCAGCTATTGCCATTGCCAAGGCCACTTCCACCGCTACTGCTATAGTTTCTGTTGCTGCTAGTGCTTCTGCTAGTGCTGACGCAACTGCAAGTGTGGCTGCTGATGCTACTGCCGCCTCCTCCTGCTGCTGCTCTTGCTACTGCCACTTCTCAGGTTTCCAGAGTGTGCCGTGAGATGCTGGGCTGCATGTCGGTGGAAAGGAGTCTTGAGCGTGAGCCCGAAACGCTGTGGACCCGAAGCAGCTTCTGGCTGCGAACAGTTCAAACGGGCTCTTACACCTTCTCTTTTGCTGTCGCCGCTCCCAAGAACCTCCCTGCATGAGGCCTCGAGCCTAAACCCCTAAACTCCGAAAGCCGAACACCAAAACCGCTTAGGCTCCTAAGCCCGAATCGCGCGGAAGCTGAGCGATCGATGATATAATTGACACCGGAAGACCAAAGCATGCCGAGAAAAGTCCCGTAACCTTACCCCAAACCTCGAGGTTCTAAACTCTAACCAACGAAACCCTAAACCCTAAACCAACGAAGCCCTGAACCCTAAACCCATGTCTACGGCTCAAGCGACCCGTGTAGTTGGCTTTTTTCTTTTGCTTGCGATGGCTGGTACCTTTCTTTGGGACGTTGCTCAGATTCGGTTTACCAGCAACCAAGCTGTGCGGTTGCTCGGATCGGTGCCGTACACCGTTGGTGATGTTTTCCTCCCGGACAATTACATTCAGTTTGTTGCTCCTGCTGGTTGTGTCTCTGTCATTCCTTTTGCTTCAGGCAACAGCACGGGTCAAAGCCACCCGGTTGGAACGATTACAATTCTGTCAGGGACAAGGACACAGTGGTTCGTTCTTGAGGATGGCATGGTATGCGCACGGATCCACTTGAAGGAACACGGTTTGGAGTTGAGCGGCCAGCGGTGCAATTCCAGGACAGAGTATGAGATTCTTCGAAAGTTGTATGAAATATCCGCTGAGGAATACGAAGGACTCCTTTCCTGCCCTTTCAAGCTTGGAGAATTCCTTCCGTACGACAGCTACGGTCAGGCTTGCTTGCCTTTTTTCAAGAAGTGAGCAGCCTTGCGGACGGTTACAGTTTCTCCTCTACGGCCTCATACGACCACTGTCCACTTACTGCTGCTGCTGGCATACATGTCTTTGTTCTACGAAGGGCCCCCGGAAGATAAAGCCGGGTGGTGAGAGGAGTGTTACTTGATTGTCCTTCCGGCAAGCACAAATTTTTTGCCCAAACCCCTGCTGTTGCCTTGGAGGTCTGAGGCACCTATGCGGTTTTCGATGCCTTCAGGCTGCGACACGAGACATCCTCATGGAAGGGCGACTGCTTGGTGCTTGTGGCTTTTTTGGTTCGCAACGTGTCGCTCAAGCAAATCGCGGTTGACAATTAACCACAGCTGAGTCTACAATGGACCCAATCTGCGCAGGTTGCATCTATGCGTGTTTCGTAACAACTGTGAAGGCGTATTCTTCTTGGACCACGCGACTTGCGTGTTGTTTCAGCGCGTCATGGGCATGCCTGATGCCGAGCCGCAAGGCACGTCTTGATGCTGTGACATGTGCTGTTTCTGAAAGCGAAGTCAGTTGCTCAGTGGATTTAATATGCAGTTAGAATTGCAATGTATGCTACGAATGAAAGACCGATTACCTTAGCTGTATCGGCACGCATCTTAAACATTCGGCGCTGCCAGCAAGATGGTGCTCTCCGCGGAACAAGTGGCATGCATCAGCTCCTTTCGGCGCCAGAATAAATTCCGGCGCTGAAATTGCTGAGAGGGTTGGTTGCTGCGAGAAAAGCGTCTTGAGGTATCTCGACTCGGATTAGCAACCTGCGGGGTGCCATTGCCCTGAGGTGAGGCCAGGCGACGTCCGCGCAGCCAGGTATCGGGCTGTCCTGTTAGGCAGAACAGGATTGACGTTCGTCCAAGAAAGCCCCAATAGATGTACGGCACACCAACTCATTCATGTGGTTCTCTTACCACTTAGGTGGTCATGCGCCCGAGAGGGCGTGCGGGTTGGGTGGTGTTGCAGACATGCTGTGCAGATACCCGCAAAGTTGTTCATTACTCTCTCCTGCGATTTTTCCATGGCGGCGGTTTTCACCAAAGCGCGCTTGTTACTTGCAATTAGTTTTTCGGCCCATGGCGAAGGTGGTGAACAAGCGTTCCAAGGTCCATTCCAAGCTCATTAAGACAGCTCTCAAGCGTGTCGTGAAGAGGCCAACCCGTTTACAGGGCAGGGCCCCGTCAGGCCGTTCCCCGTCCTTCTGGTGCTGGCAAGCGAGCTCATGTCGAGTGCTTCAATGCGTTTCATCCTTCACATCTTCCTTGCGACGGGCTGCAGGTTACCACATCTGATTCATCTCGCTGTTGTGGGACCATGCATGACTCCCCCTGCAAGTGGCAGTTCTGCCGCTGCTCGTGAATGGTCTGCTGTGTTTGGTTACACTATCACCAACCTTTCCACTAGAATCAATTCTGCTGGTGCTGTCGAGCCCTTGAAATTCGACCAGCTCGCAGGTCATTCGTGGAAAGGTTAGCTGCATTTGTGCGGTGTGTTTGGCATTACCAGAGACAAGAGATGCACGTCAACAATAATCCTCGTCTCGTTGCAGCCGGCGAGATTGCAGTGCGGGGCACACACGTAGATCTTGTCCCCGTGAACATGTCTAAGTTGGTCGGCTTTCTTCGCACTGATGAGTCCAGCGAGCCTGACGCGCTGACGGCCAATACGCCTTCTTAGTTGGTGTATTGGAGATTGAAGGTCGTTTCAAGACCATTCCTGAGTTCGACGTGGATACGACAATCACTGTTAAGCAGTTCGGCAACAACTTTGCGGACATAGTTGAGGTGGTAGCTGCCCTAGGCAAGACTGTGGCTGCGGCCATGCGACCGGGGGCCACATGCGCCTCCCCTGCGAACCATGGACCAACCTCGCCTGCATTGCCCGAGTTGTGAGACTGTAGACCCTAAACCCTAGACCCTGAACCCTAAGCTCAGGAGCTCTTTCCGAGCTGGACTTGAAGTCCTTCCAGGGGAGGCTCCTGCGCGTGGCCGCAGCCCGGCAGAAGCCGGTGGAGGACCCGAGCTTTGGGCTTTAGGAGGGGCTTACAGCTTGGCTGAGGCAATGGCAAGCTCATCCAGGATAGAGTTCAAGCATTCCTCGGTAGTATTAGGGAGACCCCAAGGGGGTCCCGTCTTAACCTTACTTTGGCCTTTCTTAAAAAGGACCTAACGGAGAGGGTCTATGTCCCCAAGGGTTCCCTTGATCCTGTCCTCAGGGCTTCATACGTTTTTATAGGGGTTCTATGCGACTTCGTGTCAATACACATGGGTAGTTATTTAAATTAGGGTCCCTTTCAGGTGGGGATCTAAAAAAGGATTCTCAATCAGAGAGCCAACATGTTTTTCGGTTTGGCGTGGGTTTGGCAGGATCTGGAGGGGCAGATGGTGTAGGGGTTTAATTTCTTTGGATCTCACATACCTCCCCAGCTCCACCCGTGTTGCTGCCGGAAGCGAAGCAGATGTGTATTGGCACTGCACCGTGTCTGTACCCCTCTCTGCATCCAAGCACCTCTTGAACCTCAAGTCTGAACACCGCTGGAAGAGTATGGCGGACTACAGGCAGCTCCGTTCTGTCTTGTAGTGTTGGATCGTTTGGTGTGCAGACGAGGTTTTTGTCCAGGACGTCGCAGGTCATCAAGCTCAATGTTTGTTCATGCTTCGCAGGAGGCGGCGAAAGGCACCGACGCCGAGAAGGCGTTCCTGGAGTAGGAACCCTCGCGGTTGAAACTTCGGGGAGGCCTTTTTTTGGGGGGTGTTCGGGCCTTTGGGGAGGTCGTGGCTGAGTTGGGGGTGTTGAGCTCGGAGGTGCTGTTCAGGCGGATGAGTACAACCCTCCGGATATCATAAACATTCACTTGCCTTGTGGAAGGATTACTGGGTCATGTGATCCAGTTCAAGCCTCCATCATGGCATGAACCAGGTTTCAGGCACAAAAGGGTCTGCAACTCAACCAAGGCGCACTCCATTCATTCTGTCTCCGTTGCAATACCAAAGCTTGTGAATCAACGCGATCTCTAAAGCTTCAAGTTTCATGAGGCGTTTCGGGCAGCAACTTTCTAAGGGCCCTGAAGTCTGTATGCTACCCAGGCGAGAGGTGGCACTTCCTCATACAAACGCTACTTGCCTCCATCAGTGTCGGAAAGGAATCACCTGAGATTCGTCATCACGTCAAGGGGAAACGGCGTGAGCAGCCTTTAAGCGCATGTCGACAGTTTTTGCGGCGGACTCCATCTGCTGCTTGCCCTTCTTCAAGAAGTGTAGCAATGTAGCAGGTTTCGCGGTCGCGTTTGTGTTTTGCACAGCAGTACACAGCTTCCCGCATCTGGGACAAGTGCTTTCGTGCTGCTCGGCGTGAATCCAGCGTTGCTCCTGGATTTTCCAAGCATAAGACATAGGATTTTCCAAGCATAAGACATAGGACGCCACAGCCCGCAGCCTTAAACTGCACGCCCTGATTGGCCAGGTGCTAAATGTTGAGTGTGGTACAACCCAGACCCTCTGAGTCGCAAACCCCGAGAAAAATCCATATTAAGCCGTCAGTCTTAATCAAGAGTCGACACGTGAACACCTTTCTGATAGTTTTTGTGGAACCCTTTTTCGAGCCCTGATCTTAGAGCTCTCATCGAACCTGGGGGCTTTTTTGAAAGAAGCCGAGGTCGCCTTGATGAATCTGGGCCTTGATTGGTTTCTTCCTCCTGTGGTGATCTTCGCTGTACCGACTTCCCGCTATCAGTTTTCAACCCTCTTTTGAAAATTCCACCAGTTTCCGGCTGATTATCAGCATGAGTACCACCGCTATCCTGTCTTTAGAAACTTGTCTCTCCTCATGACAGGTTCGTATTCGTTGAGTGGCTGCGGGGTCCTGGGTGCGGGCGCTTGACAAAAGAGGGACCGCCTAAGTGAGCTTTCACGGTCCTAAACCTTGGCTTTTGACACCTTGAGGAGAGGAAGAAGAAGGTGGATGCCCACCTCCAGCATACCTGGAACTTGCTATACATCTCTGCCAACTCGGCGGCAGATGCTGCATCCGCACAGCTGGGTGTTTCCAAGAGTGACTTTTTCGGCAAAGATGCCGAGAACGCTGCCGTGCCACGGCAGCAACAAGGGCCAACTTCGCTTTGGCTTGGCACGTTCCCCTTTATTCCACCTTCTCCTCCATCCCCATGACAACCAACACCACCATTTCCACCCATTATCAGTAGTCAGAGTCAGCGCCAGCAGTAGCGTTTGTCTTCTTGTTGGTCAGTTGTTCAATCTTGCTGAATCTTGCTGCTGGCTGTTTCCTTCTTCAACGAGGGAGCCATTGGCCTTGAGGCAGAGAAAGGTCTGAGGCAGCTTTGGTGGAGAGATGGCCGTCCCGCAGTGTGCGAGGTCACTGCTGCCTTGACGGAGACCTCGGTCATCCAGCAGACGCCACCCAGCCTTGCAACTGAAGTCGGGTTCAGAGTTATATTTGTTTCAGCTTGAAGAGACAGACATCACAGTGCTAGCCGAGCTTGGGCCGAAACTGTTTCGCGTGATCACCGCTGAGGAAACAGTGGCTTCAGAGAGAAGGCATTCGTGTCGATGCTTTCGAGCAGCGGGGGACAGCGATGACAAACAGCAAGGCGGTCATGGCAGAGGGTGTGCAGCGCCGTGATGACACCCTCATCGCCGCTCTGCTACATGTCATTATCTCAAGGGCAAGAGATCTTTATCCCTGAGTCCTAAACCCCAGTCAAGTTCTATGCGAAGCTTTGTAGGGTCGTGGAGCAACGGCCCAGGTGAAGCATTTGCCCGCTGCCACGAGCGCGGGGGAGCTGCGAGAAACTTTGCTGTAGGATTTGGGAGGCTGTCCTTGGGATTTGAGAACTTGGCGAGTTTTGACCGCAGGGCCCTACACAGCAGGATCCTTTTCCTTCAGAACCCTGCACGCGGGGCCGGGTTTCAAGCCCTCCCTCGGGAGTCCTGTGATTCTGAAGCGGCAACTACAAGTGCCCCAGGCCCTGCACACGGAGCTCAGGGTCTGGAGGTTCTAGATCCTAGAATCCAACAAACCTGAAACCCTAAAGGCTAAAAGGGACGGTGGCGGCAGTACATCCTCTTCGTTACTTACCTACTCTTGGGGGTGGGTAATGCCTGGGTTTGTTTAGGCCACGAGCCGTCACCGGCGACGTAGTCTGTCGGGAACCCCTTCAGGGCTTTTCTATGGTAAGGGTCTTAGCACTCGGTGTTTGTAGCCGGTTCTTTTTCGTCTGGGGGTTCTTGCTTCCCGTTTCACGCCGACTTCGCACCAAGAACCTCGCCTGGCATGTCCGAGTCGTGAGAGCGTAAAGGCTAAAAGGGACGCCAAGTAGACTTGGGCTTGAAGCCCTGGTGGGGGCCCCGGGTCGCTTTGGGAATCGAACCCCTTAGCTGCATCACGTCTTCTCTTCGGGCACCCAGGTGGCTTCGGCGCCAGAATGACACACAATGCCACGAAGCCGAAATCCCAAACCTGTAATCATCCATCCTACTGGCGCCCAGTGTCATTTCCGAGCATGGGTTTGGAACTGCTCGCATAAGCACGCAGCTGCTCCAATGCACGACGTGCTGGATCTTCGGATCTGGACAGCCTCTCTTAAGCTGCTTTTTGTCAAAACCTCAAGAATTTGAGTCAACTCGCAGAAGCTCCTAAACTCCAAAGCCAAGACTCCTCAATCTCAGGAGCGCTTCGTGCGCTTCGGCACCCTGGTGCGCTGCTCGCTAGCGCCCTCGGGAACGGCGCGGCTCCAGGGATCGGGAGCGACGGCAGCGAAGGGGTTGCTGGGATCGGAGCTTTCGGGACAGTTCCAGTGCATCCAGCGTTCAGGATTTCTTGGGGGTTGCGGATGCTGGTGTTGAGTAGGCTGAGGCCTGGGGTCATGGTGGATGCTGGAGGTTGCATCCGGCTGCTGTGCGTTTCTTCTTAGGAGCAGCGTAGATTTAGGAGTGCATTGTTTCGGCTAAGGGGTGAGGGGTCCAACAATGGCAGTTCTGCCGCAGGCATAGGAGTTGATGTAACAAGTCGTGGGGCTTGGTCAGGTGCGAGTTTCTCGTTGAACAAGTGATGGCGGTCCCGGTGCAGGTGGCAGTCGTGCAGTATGCGGACAAAGGACAGCATTCTCTCTCGTGTCGTGTGCTGTATCCTGGTGCAACATGTCCAAAGCTGTAAACACTTTGTCCGAAGGATGCTATGCAATCCCTGCTAGTATGGGTTGCCCTGATGACAAGTAGGAGCCGCATCCCGGGCTTTCCAGAAGCTTGCCTTTTCACGCTTCCGCAGCTTGACGGCACTGGAGGTTTGGATGGCGTCGTCGCTCGACTTCTTGCTGGTCCGATCAGCCATGAATCACAAACCCTCGCGACCCAAAACCTCCGAAGCTCAGAGCAAGAAGCTTCTCGCCTCAAACTCCGCAATACCGAAGCTCCACAGCCGGGTCCAGGGCATGTGCCCCTCTACCTCGAGATGGCGCCGGAAGATGTGCGGCTGGCCTTGAGTTGGAGTTGTCTTGATATGCCAGAATATATGATCTTGTCCCCCATAAGCGAGCCGGGTTGCGAAAACAAGCCAGCATATTCATCCCCCTGCAACGTTCTCTGCCCGTTCTGTGGCTGGTTCTACTTGCTTTCCATGGTCGAGCGCCCAAAAAACCACGAGTAATATGGGTCATGGAAGTCGGAAGCAGCTCCCCCCTAAACCCTAAACCCTAAACCCGCGGCGAGGTTTACAGATGGCGGCGCTGCGAAGGCGGCCCAGAAGGAAGCCACCGAGGAGGCCGCAGAGGAGGAGGTCGAGGAGGACCCCACTTGGAGGGTTAGGGTTTAGGGTTTAGGGTTTAGGGTTTAGGGGTAGTTAAAAAAGTTCATAAGTATAGTTACCCTAATTATAGCCCCATTTACAACTACCCATGAACCTCCAAGTAAGCCCGCAACCCCGGGTCCGAGTGTCGGAAGACCCTTGACAACCCCTCTCTACCCAAAAACACTGAGGACGGTTATGGGAGATGCTTTTCTTTGCTGCTGGGTGTGTGTTTGTGCGGGGCGTCGTTTTTAAGGGAGCGATGTCTGGGCTGGTTTTGTTTTTTGTTTTCTTTGTTGGGTATGGAGTTTGTCAAGAGACGAGGTTCTCGAAGATTCCACGCGACGTGGCTTGTGATGAGATCAGAAGCATTTCGTTTAGGAGGCTTTTTCGTAACAGGGTCTACCGGCGAGCGTTATGGCTCGGAACTTTTAGGCCGGCCTCCCCCCCCTCAACCTTCTTGGTTATTCCCTCCTAAACCCTAAACCCTAAACCCTAAGCCTTCGAATCGAAGCCTCGGCAGTGGACAGGAGGCACGAGGCTGTCTCTTCGCTTCTCGCCGGCATTTTTGCGACTCAAGCTTCGGCCCCCTTGGGGGAGAGTTGTTATAGTATATTATAGTATATTATTATAGTATATGAAAGTATATTATAGTATGTTATAGTATGTTATAGTAGGAAATAGTATGTTATACCTTTTTTGGTTGAGCCATTTACGCCTGGAAGACCCAAGCACATCCGGGCGCAGGCGGGGCTCACTGCTCAGTCTAGAAGCCCCCAGAGGCACGCAAGTTCAGAAACCGAGGGCTTGGATCCTTCCCTTTGCAGCATGCAGGCCAGCGCCTAAACCCTAAACCAGAAAGCAAACCAAAAGCCCGAAGAGGCAGAGCTAAGGTGAAGAACTTGAGCTTCTCGACCACGGATGATGGCTTGAAGGCCGTCTTTCGCAGCTGCCAGGGCTTTCGCTCGGCCGTCGTCATGCGCAAGAAGGCCCGCTCTGGTCGGGCTCCGGATGAAGATCGGTATTATGTATGTATGTATGTATGTATGTATATATATATACATATATATATATATGTATATGAACTGTTAAACAACCATGCGTTTAGTTCTTGTTTCAGTACCTTGTGGTCTTCTGAGCCTGAGGTCTGTGGCAATCAACTTCGGAGCTGCTCTGCCCTGGCCCAGGCTGCTGTGAAGAAGGGCGCAAAGGCCGCCCAGGAGGAGAAAGGCCTGTCCATGGGCTACGGCTTCCTCGAGTTCCAGACGACGGCGCAGGCTTGGCCGTCTGAGGGCATTCACTTCTGGTGCAGGCTGTCTCGAGAAGGTCATCGGATAAGGGTGCCACAAGGGTACTTGCTGGGACTGAGTGGGAAATTCTCATGGACCTATAAGGCTCGGGCTGTAGAGCTTTTCGGTGTTCTCTTCAATGGCTTCTGGGTCTAATGACCCTCCTCGAAGCTTCAAAGACATTTTCCACCTCTTCCACGCTGCAGGCGGCCGAGGTCTTGAAGCGCAAGCAGGGCGCGGCCTGGCAGACATTGCAGTGGCGATCGCAAGAATGATGCTACTCTGGGCATCTACAGGATAACGAAGTAGGGATGGCGTACATTTTGAGGATCCGACCATTGGGGACCCCACTTAGGCCATGATCGACGGCCATGCGGTTCAGCTGCAGATCTCGCAGTCTTTTGGCCGCAGCTCAGAGAGTGCTTTTGCAGTTGGGGCTTCGGGTTCAGGGTTTAGTGAAGTCGCAGTTGCAACAGGGGGTGTTTTTTCCTACGGTAGCCATTTTGGCTGAAGCTTTTGATTCAGGGGGCGGGATTGGAACACCTCGATTGTGCAATTGTGTGCACAATGGCTCGTGTTTTCATGTGTGTCGTGGCACTGCTTACGTCCTTCTGCTTCGTTGTGCCTCGCCCAGAACATCCACGATTCGATTCGAATCAATTTCGACTTCGGGAGAGAGACAAGCAATACAAGATAATACAAGCGGTCCGCACCGCCGATGGCATCCTGTTCTGGCTGACCCATCCCGCTGAAGAATTTGGTTAAAAGGGCAAGGATGACGGAACTTATTGCTAGTAATACTAATAATACTTATACCAATAGGCACGCTAGGCAGTACAGTGTATGCCATGCAGCATCTAGGCCCAGGCACAGCGGTGCTTGTTTTCGCCACTTTTGTGAAGCGTGGACCCCAGCTCTGCCACGAACGTGCGTGATCTGGGCCCGACTTGCTAAGTGCCAAGTCAGATTTTGATCCACCGCCATCCCTGAAGTTGTAAAGTTGTAGAGTCGGATGGCATGCCACAGCGATGCGAGATGTGAGATCACAAGCTTCGCAATATTCCAAGAAAACTCAAGAAAACAGACGCTCTCTTCAAACTGTAACCTTGGTCCGCTAGGCATCTCAAGGCATCGTTTAAGAGTATGTTCGAGCCCCACTGCGAAAGTCCAGGCATCATGTGGGTGCTTGGTTTGAATTTCCGTCTCTCTCTCTCTCTCTCTCGGTGGCACAAGCTTTCACGAGTTAGCGCCGTTTAACAGTGAAGCAGAGTGAGGCATCTCTGATTATTGTTGCATGACCGACCCTGCATCGGGCCTAAAGCCTAAGACTCCTCCACCTTAAGCCCTGAACAAGCCCGAAGCCCCAAGTCCTTAAAGGCTTTCAAGCCTCTACCGAGCGAGCGTGCCAGCGCAAGTTTTTCAAGCTTCGAGGCGGGGGACCAAAGCTCCCCGGGGCGGCCAGCAGGGTGCC